AACTCAATAGATTATGCAGTTCACGAGAAAATAGACTTTGGTAAATTAGCTGATAGTCAACAATGTGATACAGAGCTTATGAATCTAATATCTGCAAATACTACTTCACTTTTGTTTAAAGAATTCACCTTACCCTTTTCCTCAAAATCTATTATTTGTGACGTTAGTCAAGGAAAGCCAAGACCATGCGTAACAAAAGAATATAGAAAAGTAATTTTTGAAACTTTACATAACCTATCACATCCAGGGATTAAAACAACACAACACCTTATTAAATCCCGTTATATTTGGCCGAATATTAATAATGATATTAAAAGCTGGGTAAAATGTTGTCTCAACTGTCAAAAACATAAGGTTACAAGGCATACAAAATCACAGTTTGGTGAATTTAGTTGTCCAAACAACCGTTTTGAAAATATTCATATTGATATTATCGGTCCCTTACCTCAATGTATAGGATATTCATACATACTTACTTGTATCGACAGATTTACCCGCTGGCCAGAGGCTTTCCCAATGGTCGACATTTCAGCTGCAACTGTAGCAAGAACATTTATTTCCGGTTGGATATCTAGATTTGGAATTCCCAGTACGATAACCACCGATAGAGGACAACAATTCGAATCAAACTTATGGAGAGAACTGTTAAATCTCATAGGTTCTTGCAAAATTCGTACCACCGCCTATCATCCATTGTCTAATGGTATTGTAGAGAGATTCAATAAACAAATTAAAATCTCTCTAAAATGTCAATCGAAACGACAATGGCTTGATGCGCTTCCCTTCGTTTTATTAGGTATACGTAATTCCCTGAAGGAAGATTTGGGATGTACACCCGCAAAACTTGGTGCATTTTTTGAAAATTCTACAGAGAGTTCTTCCACATTATTTGCAGATCAATTAAAATCGTTTATGAGTAATTTAAAATTTATACCGTCAAGGCAAAACATACGTAAACATATTTTTGTCTCCAAAGATCTTAAAACTTCTACGCATGTTTTTATAAAGAACGAAAACCGTAAAACTTTTGCACAGCCTGTTTATGATGGTCCCTTTAAAGTAATCTCAAGAAACGAAAAGTTTTTTTGTGTTAACCTTAAAAATAAACCGACAAATATTTCCATTGATAGATTGAAACCTGCCTACTATTCGATATAAATATTGATTGCCAAAACACTTAATTATTATTATTATTTATTATTTAGTTAATTAATTGTTATATTTTATAATTGTTGTGATATTATAATGTTTTTTTAAGAAGGGAGGTAGTGTAGCAGCTATTACATGTTAGTCTAATCTTAAGTCAACTCGGTAGCTGGGGAAACGTAGATTGAAGGAATAATGACATTAGTTGTGAAGTATTAATAAAATCGTAAAAATCATTTTAACATATATTTTATTGGTACAATTTGAATCCTATATTAATTAACTCTTTAGTATAAGTTTACTGGTTTCATAAAACTAAAGAAGTGAAATAAAAATTAAATATATTAATAAAAATAATAAACAAGTAACTAACACCAGAACCAAATAGAAATGAAAACACCAATAGAGTACTCGTAGAATTTAAAATTCATACTTTTATATTATTATATTTAAATTTCTTCATATTAATCAATTAGCTTATCATGTCAAATGAATATATGTAAAAATATATTTTAATTATTAAAAAGTACATAATACCTTACACTAATGACATGTTAAATTAGTATATTATGCAACGATCATGTAATGATGGTTATTAATACACGAGCATTAACCGGGATACGAAACGAGCCAAAGGCGAGTTTCGTATGGTTTATGCGAGTGTTTTAATAACCATTACATGAGAGTTGCATACGCTATTTTTTCTACACCCGATAAATAATCAAGACCTATAAATATTATATTTATATTGGTATTGAACACAATAACAGTAATTACTCGTATTTCTATAAAAAATTCTACAAAATTGTAATTAATGGTATTACTTCAGGTATTGGTATTTCCCTAGATTTTTGCGGTAAAATATTTTGTACTGTATTTTCTGCTTTCTCCGATATGTGTGGAGGAGTCTTCTATATCGCTAATATCAGACATTTTAATATTATAATTATCGAAGTTTAGCTACCTACGAAAATTTAATACGTTTTGACAACTAAAATAATTACATAGGAACCTAGGACAAACGTCAAACAGCATGTTTGATTGAAAAATTGTAGGTTTCTATTGATTAAAAATCTGTATCGTAATGAAAAATCTGTATCATAATGGGTATCATTATGAAACGGATTATGGGCATATAAGTGCATTATTATAATACGGGTGTAGAAAAAGTATATTTTGAATGTGTTGAGAATGATCCGATTGCCTCAAGAGAATATGCATTGAAATATTCTCAGCGAATTAGACAGTCAACAAAAACATTAAAAAATCTGGCAAATCGTTTAAAAGAAATTGGGTGTGTTCAACCTAAAAAAGCTATTCAATGACGTCGAAGAAGCATAACTCAAATTAACGAAATGAATATATTAGCATACGGTGCTGCAAATCCTCATATAAGTGTACGAAAAATTTCTTCCAATTTAGAACTTACTAGGTACTGCGTAAAACTACATCGTCACCATTCATACCATGTAGCCCTTCATCAAGGTCTGAAAACGATAAATTGCTGGATTATTGTAATTGGCTTAATAATATGCTTAATGAGATTCAACAATTTTTATCACTATAATGTGGTCCGACGAATCTACAGTTTTCAGTAAGAGATCTGTAAACAAACATAATATGCATTACTGGTATTGTTGGATTTGTAGGTTTCTAACAATTGAATCCAACACAAAGTATAAGTACGGCCCTAAGGCGCGCTTACCAAATGGACTGTCTCCTGTCAGTGCTAGCTGCAACCATCTCCATATGAACAATGAAATACTTTGTAAACAATAATTTATTGTGCAAAAACGCTACACGACAATTTTTAACTTTGTACATATTTACATTATTTTTATTTAACTATCTACAATCTACATGCTTAACACTGCATCATTGCAGGTGTAGTTTGAAATTTTAGATGGTAAAATTATAGATACTATTATTATTAATGAAAATTTAAATGCTGGGCGATATTTAAGATTACTGAGAGACGAATTGCCTGTTTCATTAGAAAATTTTTCACTAGAGGTACACCGTATTATGTGGATACAGCAGGATGGCTGCCCAGCACATTATACAAACGACGTAAAATACTTTTTAAATCAACTTTTCGGAATAGGTGGATTGGAAGAGGTAGTCTATTTTCATGGCAACCAAGATCCTAATCATATTAGATTTATATTTGTGCGGTCGACTTAAAGATTTAGTTTATCAAACTCAGCCTGTAAGTAAAGAAGATTTAATTCAGCGGATACAAACTACAATTGATCATATTCCTAAGTCTGAAATAGACGCTGCTGTCAATTCGACTAGACTAGATATTTGCATTGATAAAGATGAAAAAACAATTTGAGCACCACCTCTAATTCTGGTAATACATTTTTTTTTGTTGAATTAGACCTTTTCTACTAAATTACTCTTTTTCCTATTTTGTTATTTTTTTTGTTGTATTAATATTATTCAATTTTTATTTCGCAATTAATTTCATTAAACCAGTAAACTGAAACTAAAGAGGTATCTAATTAAAATCGGATTTTAATAATGTTTCGTGTTAATCACTACAGCTAAGCTATCGAAAAATTGCTAACACATCCAAGCCAACTGGATTAGGTAATATATAAAGAATTTTGTTTATTAATATCTATGTGGACTATTTACCGTTAATAGATTTTTGCTTATATTCCGTTAGGAAAAAGATAAGACCCGGTTTATATTGTTTCTTGTCAGAATTGAATTCTCTTTCCAAATTACGTATAAAAATTATAATATTCCATTTAAAGTTTTAAAGAAAACTTCAAAAAAATTGTTACTGTTTAAAAAAACGCCACCTACTGATCGTTTAAACAACTGAATCAGAACTATATTAAAATATTTTACTAAGCAATAAATTTGATTTTAATAGATACTAAGTTTTTAAAAATCTGATAAACGACACCGTAGTTATGATAATTTTATTAAGTTGCCCCTAGCAGTTACGTTATTGAATAGAGCAAAAAGTGTTGGATAAAACTTTTGTAATATTTGCTCAAAATTACCGTTTTTTGAAAGAAGAAAAGTAATTTTTTGCCTTACCATAACGAATTGAAATAGAAAGTTGAAAATAATTTCCAGTATTTTCTCTTGATCGACTTTGTTATAAAAAAATTTTCAAATCCGTAGGATCTTCTCATGTAATATCACAAAATTTCTTTAAAATGTCTTTTTTTAATATAGAAATTATTTTTAGCCAAGAGGAGATTAATGGTTCTAGTTATTCTAGAAAATTTAATTTTGTTTTTAAATGTGATGTGTTTATTAAAATCATTTATATTAAAATTTTGTCTTACTTACATTTTAGGTTGGTACACCTTTCTCTTCTACCTTATTTTGTTGTAACAGCTTGACAACCTTTTCAATAAACAGTATAATATAAATCAGAATTTATAAAATGTATAAATTGGTGAAATCATTTTATTTGAGTTGCTAAATACCATAACAATATGTATTTTCATAAACTGCGACTGCAATTATTATACATACTCGTTTCATCTAAAATTCTCTTCCTGTGTCTTTCTTTTTCAGAAAGTTTAAAGATATTGTAGAAATTATAAAATATTCAGTTTAAACCCAATATTTTTGTAACAGCTTTCCTTAATCCAGTAAAGCACATTCTTGTAGTTGCACGTTTGTCGAAACCTACAACTTCTCTTTAAGAAGAAATAATTAAAAGATACAATAATCAATCCTGTCTGGATTTAAAAAAAAATGTAGTAAACGAATAATAAATTTAACTTTTTTCCATTGCAACAATGTTGAATAATGACCATTCTGCATTATTATGATATTCCATTATTCTTCAATACTGTTTACAATATAAAAACAATCGGTAACAATATTTATCGGGATCTTTAATCGAAAAATATTTTAAAAGTATCCAATCAAAATTTAAACAGTACGAACAATTAAACAATAAAAAACCGAATAGAATTAACATTGAAATCGGAAAAAAACTATTTACCATTGTGGATAATAGTAAGACCCATGTGGCGCTCGTGGAGGGACAACAATAGCTGATACAGGATGTTGAACAACTGGTCCATTAAATCTACCATCAGGATTGCTTACATGACTATGGCTGGAATTGGTACGCCTTACATTTCTCTGATAACCCAACCAATTACCACCTGTTCTCTGAATGGGATAAACCGGATATGATCGATTTTGGCGGTATTCAAAGGATCCAGGTCCTTGCTGCTTGACAGATTGGCTGTAGTAGGTAGGACGAGTTAAATGACTGTTACTGACCTCAATTCTTTTTTTTCCTGTATCGTTATTAAGGTTTGGAGGTGGAGGAGTTCTGTCTCTGGAAACGCCACGTCGAAACTTCTTATCAGCCCTTTGGTCATCTCTGTTACGGAAAGATCCATTTCTAGGCGTTGGAGTAATCCTACGTCTTGGACTTTTACTGGGTCTTCTTAATGGAGATGTTTTCCGTTTATAGGAATTTTTGGCTTCGAATCGAATGTTGTTAAGCTTCTGCTTTAAACTTTCTTTTAACTTTCTAATTTCTATCAGTTCTTTATTTCTGTCATCTTTATTAGCTTCAATTTTTGACAATTCTAGTTTTTTCATTTTTTCGAATGATTCTCTTTCTTGATTCAAACGTTTTTGTTCTTGGCGGGTTTGTAACTTTACTTTGTTGAAATCTTCTTTCAAAGTTTGGTATTTTTTACACATTCCGTCATAAAGTCGTGTAGTTTCATCCAGACGCTGTTTTAACTTCTTGTTGGTTTGATTCAGAGAATCGATTTTGGTTTGCATTTGTTGTTTCGAATGATCATTATCTTTTTTATCACTTTGATTTTCGGTTTTTCTATTGTTATTACTATTACTTTTAATTTCAGTTAACACTGTATTGTTTACAACATACTGTTCAGTTTTATTTTCTTTATCAGCAACCTTTTTGGTAGTATTTTTTTTCTTAATTTTATCAGTTTTTGAGTCAATATCGGGTCTCTTTTTAGTAACAATTATTTTGTCGCCTTGAAGTAAAGATTCATTTAGATCTGAAATACATTTAGCAGCCATTTCTAGGGACTCCATAGATACATAAGCATAAAAGCTTTTGCCGTTGGTTAATATTTTTACAGAAGTTACTCTGCCAATTTGACTAAAGAACTTTTTAATAGCAGTTGCTTTAATACCATGGCGCAAGTTTGATACCCACACAAAATTTCCTTTTGATTTGGAATTCAAACTAGTTTCATGGTTAACTTTTGAACTAATGTCGTTTATTGGTTGAATGTTAGAAGTTACAGCCTCGTTAATATCGAAATATTTGTCAGATTTTTTTGATTCCTCGGCAAGTATTGTATCTTCAGTGCTTACATCAAGTTTTGTTACTATAACAAATAAGAAATTTTTGAGATGGCCAATTTAAATTAAAAAAAAATCCTTCGTGCTCACCATCGATGCTAATTTCTGGTATCTCGGAATCTTCTAATTGCAGTTTTAACAATCCATCCTCTGCAGCTTCATTTGACATAACAGCTTTTGTATCAGATTCGGATGTAATACTAGAATTCTCAATCATATTGAGCTAATAGCGTGGTACGTCTACAGACCTAAATACAAAATAAGAAAGGTTAATTCCACTAATTCCATAAATTTATTTGATTGAATAGTTGAAAATATATTTAAATGTCTGTAATTATGGCACTCGAATGTCCTGGAAAGATAACTGCTGTCTCCATATAGAATCGTGATAATAATACCGTCACTACCATGTTTGTATTTGAGATGCTGTGGCAAAACCAAACCAGGACCTTCTAGCTGAACATCAATATATTTGTACATTTTCCAAACAGACGATATCTTCTTTGTCCTAACAACTAAAGGACTTCTTTAATTTAAGGCTTTCTTAACTATATGACTGTTTTAAATCCAAGATTCCGTTTATAATTCTAATATTTTCAATCTTGATAATTTAGTAATACTTTCATATTTTAAAACAAAAACATACTTAATGGAATTTAAATGTATATGTTTTTATTCATGGAAGAGTATGAGTTAAATAGTTTTTAGGATGTAAATTGTAGATGAAATTATCAAGAAAAAAAAAATTAAATACAACCATCAATAAATACATAAATTGCTTGGATTTCAATATTTTTTTACACATATCTGCTCCAATACAAATGGTACAACCAAGTGAAAATATGTTTCTACTTTTCAACTTTGTTTCCCGGTAATTTTAACTTGATGGAAAAAATTTGTAATGTAATCTACATGATAAAAAAAATTCTTGTGCACCTTCGGAACTTGAGGTATATATTTTAAATGCTAAAAATTAGATTCAGCAAAAGATAATTAATATAGTCATGTTATTTAAATAGTCATTAAAACAGGCATTTTGTTTATAAAATTTATTTTATTTGACAAAAATTTTATAAATTACAAAACATTTCAGTACTTACGATGTTCCACAGACGGCAATGTACAACCTTCTTACCTAGAACAAAATAAAATAAAATTAGAAGAAAATATGGTTATGTTAATAACAAAATTAACTAGTTTTTTTTGTGTACCACAAGACCATAAAGCTAGAGAGACAAGCCGCGAGAGTCATATAATCTTTAAAGGCTGTAGTGCCTCTACGTTTTAAGCTCTAGCATTGAGTAATGGCTCTAGTAATCCTGAAGGACTAAGGTCTAGGTCAAATCAGAAGTTGCAGCCGAAGCTAATCAAATAAGGAAAAGGCCGTAAAAGATAATTTGGTCAATGCATACAAAATATTATTTAAATAAATATAAAAAGAATAATTCACAAAAAATGTTTCTAAAGTGGGTACTAAACAAGAGGACATTTTACTTTAGAAATATTTTTGGTAGATCATTCTATATTTGGGAAACAAAAATAAACTAGACACTTAAGGTTATTAGTTATTTAATAGTGGTTAATTTAAATTCAACTTTTACAATTCAACTAAACAACTTATCATAACATAAAACTGAAACTTGATGTCAGGATCATCGATTTATATAGGTTCCTTGAACCTACTAAAACCTTTTTGAATCGTCCAGATGTTTCTTGACACGAAATGACGTTTATAGACTATTTCCTCTTTTTCTTTTACTTGTGCTTTTTCCTTATGATGACCGCGGCACATTGTAGGGTGATAGGTGACATTTATTCAATGGGGATTTTCCGTAGCCGAATACTGACACATCTGAAGATTTACGTGACCGTTTAGAAGAAATGTAGCTTCATCCGAAAAAATCACTTCTTTAAAACATTAGATCTTTTAGTTTTCTATTATAATTTCGCAAAATCCAATCGTCTTCCAGACGCTCTTGACATAAAGTAACTTTTTTCTTTTTTAGCATTCTAAAAACTATTGAATTGTTGATGTTATAATTTACTGCCATGAACTATTATGGACAGTCTCGTTAAACGCTACTAGAATATTTAATTTGTTTTCTACTACTTTTATGAAGATCTCTTACATTACCTTACATGGTCCGTTTCTCTGAATTTTTTCTTATTCTGCTTACGGTGGATTGCAAAGTTGGTTCTCGGTTTGTATATTTAAAGTTGAATAAGCTAAATTAGATGTTTGGTCCATTTGTGTCCTTGTTTTTAATGCACAATCAATCATTATCAAAATTTGTCAATTCATTTCGTTTCAGTAAGCTTCATTTAATAAAAAGACGTTTTAACTATAATGTATTCGACTATATAAACCATAGAAACAGTATGAAGGCCAATATTAATATATTTCTTTGAAGTATATTTAAAAGTTCTTGTTTTCGATTATGTTTTCTATCCAAAAAACGATATTTTATGACACATTCGAATAAAAAACTTTTTTACATTGTCTAATGAAAATTTAACACATTTATTACAAGATTTATGTCCAGGGGGTCGATTCTCGACTTTTATTCCCATGGGAAAATAAAATTTTCCCATGGGAATTCAGTTTTCGTATTCTCGACATAAGCGGTGGAATATTTTCCAATGAGAAGTATGGGAAAATATTCCCCTGCTTACGAGCATTGGAAATTGTGTTTTCCAATGGGAATTGTACTAGAGTTTGCGCATTAAAGTCGAAAATTTGACAAAAGTCTAGACATAACCAAAGATTATTGGATATCTTGGATTTTTGGTGAAATTGTAGTTAAAACATTTTTTGGCATATTTACAGATTGATATTATTTTATTTATGTAGGTATAATATTTTTTCTTCTCTTTCACTAAGAAATTATATGAACTGATTTTCTTAAATCAGTCAGAAATTGTGGGAGCTGCTAAGGGACTGGCAAATAACACAAATTGAGAAATTTGTAGTAAATTTAATAAGAATTTCTTAGTTTCTCGAAACTTTCGTTGCTCTTCCATACAAAAGCTACTTTTTCTTTTTTCAACATGTTAAATGAAAAACTGGGAATAACTCAACAAGTTTTAATTATACATAATCGAATATTTTCACTTGTTCCTCGGTCATGCTAGGGATTGCTCGGCACGACACCTGCTCCAGCGTGGAGGCTCGGCATGTAACCGGTTACCCAAAAACCATAATAAATACAAATAATGCCAACAGTAAATTTGAAAATATCTTTAATGTTATTGGTTGTTTCGAAATATTCGTGGACTTAATATCAGACATACGTGAAACTACTATTCCGACAAGTTCGAGAATTGCATAACCTATTACCATGGGAATATAAGTAGTGGAATCTTTTCCCATGGGAAAATTTTCCAATGAACTCGAGAATCGAGCCCCAGAAATGTAATCCTTTCTTTAGATTATGTAAATAGAGACCTGTATATTTATATATAGGCTGTCCAAAGACGGAGAGACACTACCTGTATATGACAAAGCAATGAATGGATTTTGTTAAAATTGCTAAAACAAGTTATGATCTTTCTACCTAAAATATTCTGACAGATCAGAAGTATATATCAAATTTCTTATTTTTAGTGAGATGCCACTTCTAATATTACGGATACCGATGGAACATGAAATGATAGGATCGCTTTGTATAGTAAAGTGTATATAGCTTAAATTGGTAGAAAATAAAAAAAATTATTTGCAGAAAAATATGAATATTGTGCGCATTAAAATATTTATTTGCTTAAAGTAAGTTAATATTAGATTTTTATAATTCATTATGATTCATAATGATAAGGAAGGTATTTTATTGTACAGGGTGAGAAAAAAACACCAATTTTTAAAAAGGATGCATTATTTTGTATTATTTGAACTATATAATGAACTGGAAGAGCAAAGCAGATCATCAAAATCAAGCCATATAGCGAGGCGATATTTGACACGCTGACGCCCACACGTGCGTTTCGAAATAAGGGAACATTAGAATTAAATTTAACATTCAACTTCATTACCTTTTAATTTAAGAATATCACTTAAAAATGATTTTTAATTAATACGCAGCTAAAAGAAATGTTCCAATAATAATTATTAAAATACCACGTTATTAATAAAAATAGTATAACTTATCGTAGTACGCCCGTGGGAAAAATGACGTAGAATGCTTGAAATTGTAACGTCAAAATTGTCATGCGCACCGACCGTTTTTTTACCCATGTCGGCTTAGAAATTAGGAGTAGGGTTTATGTCATATAGCCATCCAGTTTAATATGAAGGTCGGTTCCTAAAATAAGTGGAATTCGTGTTTATTTCCCTATACTCATTTTGAACATCTCCGGTATGAGCAAAAATTATAGAACTGTTAATAGATTTTAGATGAAAAGGTCATAAGTCAGCTTTTACCATCGAGATAGAATGAAGTAAAGACGACATAAACACTACTTTGTGATATGACAGATGGACGCACTTCGACTGATGGAAAAGTGAAAAAATAACCACTTAGTTTCATATTTTTAAAATTGGGAATGTTATATATCGTGGATAGCAAATCAAAATCAGAAAGGCCAGAATTATCAGAAATAAGTTGCTAGAATAATTTCAAAATTGGGAAACAAATCTCAAAAATCCCCCTACAATTGGTTAAGGCCATCCCTGAATCCCATATACCTGGAGATTTGAATTTAATAATTTAAAAATTCGGAAAAAATCTCAAAATTTTCCCTACCAATTAATAAAACCATTCACCAAACCTCAAATGTGAAAACTTGGAGATTTGAAAAAAGCCTGACGCTCTGGGATTCAAACCCAGACATCTTTGTTATGTACACAAATGCCCTTACCGCTAGACAATTACACCATTGACTGTGCAGATTCCTAGATGGCAATTTAACGTGCTTGGCCAGAATTAGCATTGATTTTAATTTGAGTTTACGAGGAAAGTTTTGTAATCTTAATTAGAGCAAGATATTATATGCATAATTTAGATAATCCTGTGTCGAGTCAGATATGGCCAACTGATCATGATAATTTTTTCCGCTCGAGTAATTTATGAATACAAAAGAAAGGGGAGAATGCAAATAAATAACTGATTCTCATTCTTTCGAGGATTCATTTTTACGCAGACATTCCAATTTTGCTTCAATGGTAGATGGTGGACTATACATTTTTCAAAACAGTGCAAAAAAGTGTACTGTAATAAAAGTAACAAACGTACTCCTATTAATTGTTTTTTAAATTAACTTCTGCACTGAAAGGTTCGCAGAACAAACACAACTCATTTATACATAAGGCAGTTCAAAATAATAAATTTCCGATACACGTCGGCCATAACAACCTTGTATTTTTGACGTGATTGTTGAGGATAATGCGCATCGGATTTTTCTTTGTAACTAGTTTACTGTAAAAGCGTATTTTAATATACTTTATTCAACTAAAGATTCATATAGACTATACACTATGTCCAAGATTGGTGCTACATGTATTGCTATCTCGGTTATAATAGGAGCTACACAATCTATTAAATAAGCAAGCAATATTTCTCTGGATTCTATTACCATTTCAGAACTGCTATTACATTTTATCAGTTGTTTTTTGTTTTTGAAATAATCGCGAAAAACCAAAATAGTGTTTTTGACAAACCCCCGTATCTCAGTTATTTCATGACATACAGTATTTTGATTTAGACATTCAATGGGTACTTTAGTAAGATTGTTATAATAGTAAGTAAAGCAAAAGATTGTCCTATGGACGTCATATTGGATTTGTATTAAATTAAATAGCATTTTTATCCTCTTTTCAAAAATGCAACACGACATGGTACTTTCTTTCAAATTAATGCTGAAACACAGATTAACCACAACAGATTCGAAACCCGAAAAAAGATCAAAGGATTTTGAAATTAGATTTCTATGACCTTGGACTTTAAATGGATATGGCATAGGTGTTGCCAATTTTAATTATTTTCAATCAGTCTTACTAAATATGACTTTCTTCTAAACATGCGTTTTGGATGTCAGGGTTGGTTTAGGTAATTAATGGTTTAATGTATAGTAGCAGCACGAGTATGTTAAACCAGTTGACTATAGGAGTTTCATTTTTAAACATTTTAATAGAAAACGAATATG